TGCCTTTGTGGATGAGCTGTATCCTGAAGTATGTGGACCAGAATATGTGATCAGTAAAAGGTGAGTTCTTAGAAATTTTTGAAGTTTTGGTGCCTGTATATAATAATATATAAAGATATATATGTAATAGCTATATATATATTATATATATAAATAAGAATATCTATAGATATATAAAAATATCTATATATATCTATAAATATCTGTAAATGTATGTAAATATATGTGAATATATATAAATATATATAAATATATATAAATATATATATCTATATATATGTGTGTGTATGTATATATACATATATTTATATATATATATCTATCTATCTATATATATATATAGATATATATATAAATATATGTATATATACATACACACATACATACAACACATACAACACATACAACACACACACACACACACACACACACACACACACACACACACACACACACACACACACACACACACACACACACACACACACACACACACACACACATCCACAGATGTATAAGTATATATATATGTATATATGTGTATTATGTATATGTATGGATAGGTATAGGTATATATGTATGAATTTATATGTATTATATATATAAGGACAAATATATATATGGATATATGAATATATATGTATACATATGTATATATATATGGATATATATATGTATATGTGGATATATATATATTTGGATATATACATGTTTCTATAGTTTTATATATATGTATATATGGTTATATATATATATAATATGGATATATGTACTTATATATTGGGTTTATATAAATATCACACACACACACGAACACACACATTCATTCATATATATGTATATATGTGTATTTTGTGTATATATACAGATATATATGTATATATATTATGTATATATATATATGGATATATATATATCTATGATATATATGGGGGCGCGGTGGTCCAGTGGTTAGAGCATCGGACTTTGGATTAGTGACAGATCCAGGTTCGAAGGTTCGTGTCCTGGCTGACGCGCTGTTCCCTTGGGCAAGAAACTTGACCTCGGCGGCCCTGAAGGAAGGCAACGGGAAACCACCTTCGTACACTCCCTTGTACACATACATATAAATGGATATATATATATCTATGATATATATATACATATACATACACATACATATATATGTATATATATATATATATATATATATATATATATATATATATATATATATATATGGCTATATATATGTATATGTTATATATATATGTATTTATTATATATATATATGTATATAGGGATATATGTATCCCAATGCTGGGGAAAATTAATAAAAAATGGGGAAAATGCTGTGTTCATTTTATATATTTTTGTGAAATGTCTCTGCACATAGATGGCTCTGCTAGTACTTAGCCACAAAGGAGTCACTTAGTAGAATTTACCTGATCAGAATTAACGGGAAAAACATATTTTTTACTGTCCTATGAATATTGATGGTGTCATTATTATAAACATTAAAATTACAATGTTATAAATATTAGTAACAGCAAAATAAGATAACGTAAAATATTTTCGTAAATCAAAGAAAAGGGTAAACGGGCAAGACAGGCAATATTCGTAATTGGCTCATTGGTGATTTGGTACAAGTATAGATATCTATGTGTAAAAACAATCAAATTAGTTCTCACAGTGGGCATAGTATGTACTTACATATCATGCCCATTGGCATTGGATTATATGGATTTATATATATATATATATATATATATATATATATATATATATATATATATATATATGTACATATATATATGCATATATATATATATATATATATATATATATATATATATATATATATATATATATATATATATATATATATATATATATATATGCATATGCATATATATATATATATATATATATATATATATATATATATATATATATATATATATGCATATATATATATATATATATATATATATATATATATATATATATATATATATATACATGTATATATATATATATATATATATATATATATATATATATATATGTATATATATATATATTTATGTATTTATGTATATATATATATTTATATATATATGTATATTTATATATATGCGGTAGAAAAACCCACAATGTAAAAAACTAGATTTATTGAAAATGAAAGTGAGACTACAGTTTCGGAATCCACCTGGATTCCATCCTCAGACCTGAGGATGGAATCCAGGTGGATTCCGAAACTGTAGTCTCACTTTCATTTTCAATAAATCTAGTTTTTTACATTGTGGGTTTTTCTACCATAGTATCAACACGGTAGAGTGTTTTCCTCTTTTATATATATGTATATTTATATATATGTATATTTATATATATGTATATTTATATATATATGTATGTATATATATATATATATATATATATATATTTATGTATATATATATATATATATATGCATATATATATGTATATTTATATATATATGTATATATATGCATATATATATATATATATATATATATATATATATATATATATACATACATATATATATGCATATATATATGTATTTATATATATGCATATATATATATATATATATATATATATATATATATATATATATATGTGTGTGTGTGTGTGTGTGTGTATGTATATAAATATATATATATATATACATATATACATATATATATATATATATATATATATATATATATATATGCATATATATGCATATATATATGCATATATATATATATATCTGCATATATATGTATCATCATCATCTTTGGGGGGCTAACGCCGGTAGGGGCGCATAGCCGCGTCCATCCTTCGCTTCCACCTGCGAGGGTCTCTCATGGCAAGCCGCCAGGTAGGGGCCCAGCCCATCTCTAGTTCCTCACGACAGGTTTGATCGATCTGCCCAAGCCACGACCTTCTCGGTCGTCCCACAGGCCTCCTCCACCCAGGGTTGTCCCGAACAGAGACAACCTGATGGGCAGGATCATCCTGCGGGAATCGAGCCAAGTGGCCATATAGCCTGAGTTGGCGATCACAGATTGTGCAAGTAACAGGTCCTGTACCGGTCTCGCGATGTAGCTGTTGGTTGGACACATGGTCCCGCCAACTGTACCCCATGATCCGGTGCAAGGATCTGTTACAAAAGGCATCAAGACAAGATTCCAAAGTACAAGATAGCATCCAAGTTTCACTACCATATAGTAAAACTGGCAGTATCAGGGCCTTGAAAACTCGTAGCTTGTTCCTTCTGCACAGGTACCGGCATCTCCAAATACTCTTGTCGAGAGATTTCATGACCCCTGCTGCCAGGCCAATCCGTCTACTGACTTCCTGGTCTGACAGCCCAGAGTCATGAACTGCACTACCGAGGTATATAAAACTCCTTGTGACTTTGATGTTTTCACCGCAAGCACTTACCGACTGCACAGGGTCTCCTAGTAGGCCCCCAAAATCCTGGATCTTGGTCTTGGTCCAGGAGACCTCTAGCCCCAGGGGCTTCGCTTCATTGCTAAATGCATCAAGAGCCGCCACTAGGGTTTCCAGAGATTCAGAAAGAATGGCAACATCATCAGCAAAGTCAAGGTCAGTAACCTTGATATTGCCCAGAGTTGCTCCACAGTGACTTTGGACAGTAGCTCTACCCAGTATCCAATCCATGCAAGTGTTGAAAAGTGTTGGTGCGAGAACACAGCCTTGCCTCACGCCTGAACTAACTGGAAAGAAGCTCGACAGGCCCTCACCACACTTTACAGCACTTTCAGTGCCTGTATACAGGTTTGCTATTAGCCCAACAATCCTTGATGGAATTCCTCTCAGTCTCAGGATCTCCCAGAGTGATTCGCGATGCACCGTATCAAACGCCTTCTTGAGGCCGATGTAGGCTGCGAGCAGCCCACGTCCGAACTCACGACGGCGCTCTACAATGACTCGAAGCGCCAGGATACGATCTATTGTGGACTTACCAGGAGTGAACCCAGATTGCTCTGGTCTTTGGTGCCTCAGGAGGTGGTCTCTGATGCGTCTCAGTAAGATGTGGGCGAGTACCTTGCCTGGTACACTGAGCAGTGTAATGCCACGGTGATTGCTGCAGTCCCATCGATCCCCTTTCCCCTTCCAGAGAGGGATGACCACACCCCTCAGCAGGTCGGGGGGAATGGTACCGGTCTGCCAGATGGCAGACAGGACTGCATGCAAGCCCCTTGCCATAGGTTCTCCACCAGCCTTTAACAATTCAGCTGGGATGCCACAGACACCTGCTTTACCACTCTTCAGCTTGGAGATCGCCCCCCTTGACTTCAGTCAGGGTGGGTGGATCCTCGCTGATGGGTGGGTCTGGCAGAGGAGTCTCAACATTACCAGCATCCAAGTTAACTGTTGGTGGATCAACCTGATACAGCTGCTCAAAATACTCAGCCCAACGCACATGCACCCCATCAGGATCTGAGATTACCTGGCCACTTGCTGAGCGAACTGCCATCGTCTGTGAGGAGGGCTTGGAGTTCAGCTTTCTCAGAGCTTGGTAGGCAGGACTAAGTTCATTTACTAAGAAATGGCTTTCGACCTCCTCTGCAAGATTACTGATAAACTGTTCCTTATCCCTTCTCAACAGTGACCTAGTCCTGCGCGCCAGAGAACAGTGCAAATTGCGATCCCCTGACAATCGAGCCGCACGACAAGCTTCTGTGGCTTCCAGTGTCTCCTGCGAGATGGAATTCTGTCTTGCTCTTGGGCGAACACCAATGGATTCCTGAGCTGCATCAAGCGTTTCACGCTTGAAGGAATCCCACATAACAACAGGGTCTGTGAGGCCCTCGAGTGCTGTGAGACGACCAGAGATAGAGATAGACGGGGGGTTCTAAAGTGGACCCAGAGAGTAGCCACAACTAGTCTATGATCAGTTCCACAGAACTCGGCGCTTCGATACACCCTGCAGTTCTGGAGGATCCTCCACCGAGTGCTGACAAGGATGTGGTCGATCTCCTTGGCCACCCTACCCGTATCACTGTACCAAGTCCAGCGATGCGGGTCAGAACGCTGATACCAGGAGCCAGAGATCCTCAATTTCTGGGACCTAGCAAAGTCACGGAAAAGGAGGCTATTCTCGCTGCCAGTATCAGCTCCTGAGCCATGGGGACCGACAGACATCTCGTAGCCAACTCGATCACATCCGGATACTGCATTGAAGTCGCCCAAAACAATACGAATATCTCGCCGAGGACAACTGTCTGCCACAGATGCAAGTTTGGTGTAGAACATCTCTTTCACCTCAAGTTTATATACATCCGTAGGAGCATACACAGCAATATGAGACATGAAGCCAAATGACAGCTTCAGTCTCAATACCATTATACGCTCATCGACTGGAGTGACCTCTACTACCGAGGGTTGAAAACGGCTGGAGATGGCTATGGCTACTCCCTGGAGATGGTGGCCATCGCTGCGGCCCGACCAGTAGTAAGTGTAGCCACCCACACTAATCGTGCCGCTGCCAGGTCTTCTCACCTCCGAGAGAGCAGCCACCTCAACTCTCAGCCGCTTCAATTCCCTCGACAGTAATGGTAACCGATATGTATGCTTATATATATGTATGCTTATATATATGCATATATATGTATATATATATATATATATATATATATATATATATATATATATATATATATATATATATACATATATATGCATATACATATGCATACATATAAGCATACATATATATGCATACATATATATGTATATATATATATATATATATATATATATATATATATATATATATATACATATATATATATATGCATATATATATATATATATATATATATATATATATATATATATATATATATATATATATATATATATATATATATATATATATATATATATATATATATATATATATATATATATATGCGTATATATAAATATATATATATATAAATATATATATATATATATGCGTATGTATAAATATATATATATATAAATATATATATATATATGCATATATATATGAATAGATATATGTATATATGCTTATATATGTATATTTATGCATATATATGAATGTTTATATACATATATATGCATATATATAAATACATACATATATATATATATATATATATATATATATATATATATATATATATATATATATATATATATATACATATATACATATCCATATATGTATGGATATGTATATATGCATACATATTTATGCATAAATATATACATATATGCATATATATATATATATATATATATATATATATATATATATATATATATATATATATATATATGTATATATATATATGTATATACTACATATATATATACATGCATATGTATATGTATATGCATACATATATATATATATGTATATATGTGTATATATGTATATATGTGTATATATGTATATTTATTTATATTTTGTATATTTTAATATATTTATATATATATATATGTATGTATATGTATTTATAAATGTATATGTTATATATATATGTTTTTGAATGTATATATGTTATATATATATGTTTTTGAATGTATATATATATACATATATGTATTTATGTATATATGTATATATATTAATAAATAAATAGATTCATAAAATAACAATAACCCTATATGATTTTTTACCAATCTAGGTATGACCTGTAATGACCAGTATTCAATGAACTGTACCACTCGAATTTATAAAAGGAAAGAGGAAAGAGACATTACCTATCTACTCATAGTGGAATAATGATAGCTAGGTTTTATACACTCCTTGAGGGCACTTGGGGGAAATCAATTTAGAAATTTATCGAGTTATTCACTGGCATTGATATAGAATCTCTGCAACTCCTAGTATGACCCTGAAGTGTCAGACCCTGAACGACCAGTACAAAACGAACCGTACCACACGACCCACTGTTTCCAGTTTTCATATGTATAAATGTATTGATATATATATATATATATATATATATATATATATATATATATATATATATATATATGAAATATACACATATGTGTATATATATGCATATATGTATATATATGCTTATATGTATATATATATATATATATATATATATATATATATATATATATATATATGTATATATATGTATATATATGTATATATAGATATATATGTATAAATATGTATATGTATTATGTATGTGTTTGTGTATTACATATATATATTGTATATATATGTACATATATGTATATGCATATATATGTATTATATATGTATTACATATACGATATGTATATATGTGTATGTATAAGTATATATATGTATATATATATATGTATATGTATATATATGTATGTATATTTGTATATTGTATATATAATATATATTTATATATAGGCATAATGTATATCTATATTTATATGCACATATACACGAACATATGTATATACATAACTAATGCAACTAATAATTCACTGATACTATGCTTTTGTTTTCTCAGGGATATTCTAATCAAACCAATCAAAGTGGAGGCTGAAGGGTTCCCAAGAGAAAAAACATGGACCAAATACATTTGTTCCAATGGTTAGTCACAAATATAATGAAAATAAGTATTATTTGTGATAAAATGTAATTTTCAGGTTCTTGTTGTATACTCCATCTTATGAGTGAATGTAAATATATGTAGATGTATATAGTTTTCAGAAGTAAACTGTAGATGACTTGAGGAGTAATAGTTATAAACAATATAGGGAAAACTTGAAACAAAGTGGTCATGAAATATTGGTAATTGACTAGCAAGCCAATCATTACTCCTCATTAACCCCTTGCTTACAGGCATGGCATGTACGTACATGCCATGCCCATTGTGAGTTTACTTGTTTAATTGTTTTTACACATAGATGACTACACTTTTACTAAATCACCAATGAGCCAGTTACGAGTACCACCTGTCTTGCCTTCACCCTTTCTATCGATTTGTGAAAATATTTAAAGTTATCTTATTATGCTGTTACAAATGTTTATAACATTTTAGTAATTATAATGTATATAATAAACATAACACCATCTATATTTATACTTTTTTGTGCCAATTCAAGGAAAAGTGAAATCCTTTCTGACTAAGCACTAGCAGAGCTATCTAGTAACAGGGACATTTCACAAAAATATAAAAAATGAGTACAGAATTTCCCCCATTTTTTATTCATTTTTCAAGTCGGGAAAGGGTTAAATTTTGCATGTGAGGATATATCAGAAATTGCAGTTATCAACTTATCAGCTGGGAGTCTTAAGAAATGGGATGGTGATATAAGCCGTGTTTTTTAACACATTGAACCCCAAGATTCAGATCACAGCCACGAATCAATGAAGGTTTCATTTCTTGGCGATTTATGAATAATAAATTGTAAAAACAAAAAGCCAGGTTTTGCTAAAAAAAAAAAAAAAATCAATTAGCTAGTGGTTATTTAGCTAATGTTTATTTTAGGTTTAGTTTAGTTTAATTCCATTTGTTACAATGGATATTCTTGGTGTGCAAGGAATGGCCGGGGTTACCATCCACCGGCGGCGAGGGATTTGAGCGCAAGATTACTAGACGAGATCGCTACCGCTGCACCACACAGCAGCACACAGATAATGAATACAATTACTATTAGTTCATAACTTCTTTTACAGATATTAATGAAAATGCAGACTTTTTAGAGATTTGGAAGGTAGAACCACCACCACTCATTGTAGAAGACTCAGCCAGGGGCTGGGTGACTGCAGTTGGTGATCTTCTGGGACCTACACTTGAGGTTAGTCATGTCTTCAGATCTGAAAGTCTTACCAAAGGGTTTAAAAGTCATGATTTTATTTGATTTATTGGTGGAAACCACTGGAACTAAAGCCTTTAGGGATACATAATATTGTGCTGTAGTTAAATGACCAGAAAAAAGATTGATAGGGAAATATTTATAAAGCCTATAATACTATGCTTGTATAAAAATTATTAGTAGGAAATATATACATACTGTACAGATAACCACAAGGCTTTGGTGACTAAACTTGTCATGGTCCACAGGAACATATCTCCAGATGTATGCATATGTGTAAATATATATGTATGTGTGTGTGTGTGTGTGTGTGTGTGTGTGTGTGTGTGTGTGTGTGTGTGTGTGTGTGTGTGTGTGTGTGTGTGTGTGTGTGTGTGTGTGTGTGTGTGTGTGTGTGTGTGTGTGTGTGTGTGTGTATAAATAAATATATATATATATATATATATATATATATATATATATATATATATATATGTATATATATAGATAGATAGATAGATAGATAGATTTAGGTATATATGTTTATATATAGATAGATATATTGATCTAAATACATAGTTACATATATAAATAATTATATAGATGCATATAATATATATATATATATATTGATGTATTGATATATATATATATATATATACATATATATATATATATATATATATATATGTATATATATGTAAATATATATATATATATATATATATATATATATATATATATATATATATATGAACGTATATATAAGTATGTATACGGTGTGTGTGTTTGTGTGTACGTGTACGTGTACGTGTGTGTGTGTGTATGTGTGTATGTGTATGTTCATGTGTGTGTATTATTTTACATTTTATATATATATTACATTAGATATATATGTATTACATTAGATATATATATTACATTATATATATATTGATATTGATATAATGCTGTATATTGATATAGATATATGGGATATGTATATATTGAGAAGGGGAAATCAGATAAGGTCACAAGGCCTACTAATTGACTCCTTTGTGGCTCAGCACGAGTAGAGCCATCTATGTGCTGAGACATTTCACAAAAAAATAAAAAATAAATACAGCATTTTCCTGGCTGTATCTCAATATATGTATATATATGTATATATATGTATATAAATATGTATATGTATATATTTATGTTCATATTTAGATATATATAC